GCCCCGGCAACCGTGCTGGGAAAATATTTTACGGTACTCGTCATCGCGGAAGGTAACATCCGCGGGCATTCGGAGGGGATTCGCGAGCGCGCGGCTCGTCGCGACGGCTCGTTCATTCGACCAAGAATTAAGTCGTTTACCTCTCTCGGGGCCTGCACTGTTATTATCATCGTGAAAGCGAACGTCGTTTCAGAGTGGCAAAGAACGCGAAATCGCGGAAGGGGATTGCTCTTGTTAGCGGAAACGTCTCGTGTTTTTCGCGCGAGAATTTGCACCCGAGGACGAGGCAAGACTGGCCCCTGCGACTAGATATCAGAAATTAACATCGCCTTGTAATCTCGCGGGCGCGGGTTTTAAGACCGACGGTTCTTGCCCCGCCGTCATCATCATTACGAATCTAAAGTCATCAAATGGAAACGTTCGTGCATTATCCCGAGTCGAGCAAAGTGGCAGTCTCTCTTTCTCTCTTCCTCCCACTCTCCCTCCCCTTTCCTTTCTCCTTCCCCCGGTGCATTTCCGCCGCTGGCGCGGTAAGTCATTCGCGGAGATACGCTTTAACCGCTAAATGATTTTTACGCCGACATTTATTAACCGCCCGTGTCTCGCGTGTTTTATCGAGTCGCTATAGGCGACGCGCACGGCATCGTGACGGTCACTTACCGCGAGATAAGACTGTCCGAGCGCAGGGAACGAGATGAGCGCGCGGCGAGGTAAGAATCGTCGGCGAGTTTCTCTTTATGCACGAACGCACTTTGGAAGAAATTTTATTGCCTCCCGAGAAGTGCCCTACTCGCCGCGTTTGAAGCTTGTAAAGTACTTTCCGCGAAACTTGTGTGTGTCGAACTACGAGAATTGAGTGTACGCTCCGCGCAAATATCATCGCGTACGCGCTGTATATCTGTATACGGTCTCGCCGACCGGATTTTACGGTGGCCCACCGCGAAAGTACCTACGAAATATCGAAAGAGGAAAGAGGGGAGAAAATGGCTATGTAAATCGCTTCGTGTAATTCGATTCGACGCTTCGGAGGCGCTCGGCACGCCCGGAGATAGAATCAGTGGGAGTTGAAATTTAGCGGCAGTTAAAATACGTCCTTGAAATGGGGACAGCTAATTTCCTCGCTACCGCAGCTAAAGAAGCACCCTCAAGTCAGAGCGGAAATGAATTCATTTTTGTTGTCTCGTTGGATTCTCCTTGCCGAGACCTTTCCAAAGATATGCTACATTTGGGGTCTGATGGACCCCGCAGTGGCGGGGTTGCGCGATCCGCCAACTTCTCGATCATTTTTGACCACCTTATCATGGAAAACCGTATCACGGAAAAAAAGATCAGCTCTGCTGAAAAGAATGTTTATTAAAACCAAATTTCGCTTGATTCGAGAAAGTGATTGATTTGAATAGCCCTAACTAAATCATTATTTGACTGAGATTAATATATTTTATTAATTGAAAGAAGTGTTCCTTTGTTCCGGAAAAATATTTTTAAAATTGACAAGATCACAACTTAGGCGTGACGTTGGGATCGCCGATTTCGATCAAATTCGGTGAGAATATAATGCATCCCCGGCAACCGACGTGTGTTAGTAAGGTGTACTACTAAAAAATCAACGCTAACCAACATCTAACGATGACAGTGAAGTTCGAACTAATAATATTCAGCCGCTATTACGAAGTCCTTTTTCTAAACGTACGATCCTGCTTTCGACTCTCTCAATGCGCGCATTATTCGACCCGAAAATTTGAATCACCGCTATCGATTATGATTATTGCATATATTTGATTTCGCGCGTTTCCGCGATAAATGCGGACTCGATATCATTATCTCGTGAAAGGCCACACACACACACACACACACACGCGCGCGCGCATACGCGCCTCTTGAATTATCGTTGGGACGTCGTGGAAATTTGTCACGGCTTTGTGCGGTAACTTTTTATGACGCGCGTGCACAATTCACAGCCGTAGAACGCAGCGAGGTAATAATTAAGAACGATGCGTCGACGCGTTCGAATTTAATAATTGATACATGTTCCACGTGCAAANGGGGAAAGGGGGGGGGGGGGAATCACGTTTACAGCGGAGCGTTTGATAATTCCGCGACGTGAGCCGCGCGCAATCCGCGGTTGTGTGTTCGGCGCGATGTAAAAGGTTTGCGACGCGGACAAGCCGTAATTTTAAATATCGCGATATAATTATGATAATAATGATATAATGACGCGGGACTACACAATGGGACAGTGCACAATTGCGCGCGACGTAATTCACCATGGCGGCGTTATATTATTAAAAAGCTCGATATTCCGACGGGATTCAATTGCGATCCTCGCCGATTCGGAAATTTCACGACCGAGCGACGAGGGCGAATCCGGCGGACTCTCGAACGCGCGATCGTAATTGAATACGCGTCTCACGACGTACAGAGAGCCGCGTCTGAGCGACGGGAAGAAGCTTCCCTCCCTTGTCGGCGGGGGGGAAGAGGGGGGAGAGGGCACACAGTGCCCGAGTAATAGCCGCTCGTAATACCATCTACGGAATGGAAACGGTGGACATCAGACGTTAACCGTAACGTCGCGTCGTAGAAACTTGGACGAACTAATCGATCGGGCGGTAAATCACGTTTGATTTAACGCGCGGCCACAATAAAGTAGCTACGGAGACTCGAGCGCGCGCGAGAGGATTCGTAATCGCCGCACAAAGGCGGAGGTTAAGGAAAGGGGGGGGAGGGGGGGGACGTAGAAGGACGGAAGGGGATTCGGGAGGCTGTAAGCGGAAAACTCGTAATTTATCCTGTTTCCAGTCTTGATGCCGGGCGTTTCCGCGTCGCGCTAGCGATTTCCAAGAGCTTCGCGGAAACGCGGCGACGCGAACGTCATTTCCCGACGTAAATTAAGTTTGAAATCCTGCTTATTTCAGCGTGGAGATCGATGAAAGCTGCCGCCGGGCTGGAACTACAGTTTGAAAGGGGAAACCAGCCGTGATTCACATTCGATACAACTGTTAACTCGCTCCACTTAAAGTCGACGAGCGCGCGCGCACGTGCAATTTGCGAGGGCGTAATTCTGTTACTCATTTCGCGGAATGCTCAAATTAATTTCGGCGAATGCTTAATTTGCCCGTATTGTTATCGCCTTTGGAGGACGGATTTTATATTCGAGACGGTGGGCGCGGTCGACCGACATCTACTCCACCTAACTATCTCGGTGAAACTGTGATGTGGCTTTTAGCGATCGCAATCGGCAGCGACGTGTTAGCGAATCGACGAGTGCTCGATAGATCGACGTGTACAATTGGCGTCTTGTATGCTAGATCACTCCCTAGATCCAAATTCACGCGATTTTCAGCCTTACGTATGTATGCATAAGGTCGAAAATAGGTAACGCCAGTTATAATGGTCTGCGCCGAAAGAAAAATATTTAGTATTTGTAACTATAATTAGTATAACGAAAGAAATATAGTCGGAAGATCCACTTTTCCATAAATATAAATAGACATTCTCGTGATATGCAATCGAAGAAAGGTAAGTGTCAGGCAAGTAAGAGTCACCCAACGTTCTGACAGATGCATTTTTTTAAATAACTAGAAACTGATACAGATACTGAAAAGGAAATATAAAATACAGATATAGATATAAATTTGGGGCAAATAATTAGATACAGATATAGATATTATGAAAACATATCTAGATACACTTTAAATACTTATTAATAACGTAATGAATGAAAACAAGATTCGGAAACATTTTTTTTCACTGCACTTTTGCAAATATAAGAAAATAAAAAAATTATAAATGATTAGTTGTAAATTTAATAATTCTGCAGGTTGATATTTCAAACTACAACAGGATGTGTCGAACCTTCTTTCATTTTACTCAGCGAGAACTTAATTAATAATTTACACATTATTATACCAGAATAAAACCATTTTCAGAATTCACAGATAGATATTTGACAGGTTATTTCAAATTAAAAAGTCACATGTACACATTTTATATTGAGTTTCTACTTATTTAAATAATATCGCACATATATTAATATTTCCATTAAAACTCTGACAGGCTACTTACACGTACAAAAATGTTATAGCAATATGTTAGCCAACTTCTGTTCAATAAATCTTTATTAATGAACAATTATGACTTATTGGACAAGTTAGCTAATTCATTGAATAAAAGTTATGGATCTCAAATCACGCAATGCAATCTGAAAAAGAGGCTTAAACTGGATAATCTATCCTTTACTAACATGCTGCGGCTGCTTTCTCGTAAGAAGTACAAAGTTTTTTCATTGATCAGACACCACCTCAGATGACACATCTTAGATGATATCGAATAATACAAAAAGATAAATAAAAAATGAAAAAGGAACCCTTACAATTGTCTTGATTAAATTGAAGATGTACCGACGAGTCAGCATATAATAATATTTGGTTATCAATCGCATTAAATGATTGTATTACCTATGTATGGTATTATATATGCCGACTCGTCGATATATCTTCAATTTAATCAAGACAATTGCAAGGGCTCGTTTCTTTCATTTTTTTATTTGCTTCTTTTGTATTTTTTCGCCGAAGATGGCCCGAAGTGAGACCGAGACGTACGAAGTTTAATTATTGTACCGATAATAATATATTTTAAACAATACTTTTCCCTTTCATATCTGGCATTTGAGACTCTTACTTGTTTGATGCTTACCTTTCCATTTTCCCAATAAGCGTCACCATAATGCCAATATAACAATAACCGTATATGCACGTTCCTCCGCTACTATTTTTGTGGTTAACCGTAAAAAGGTATAATTGAGGGCGAAAATATCTATAACCTCTCTCAATGTGGCATACACGACGCGGTGTGTACATGATCGTTTCTTCGATCTTTCGATCGAACACGGTGCGTCGAATAATCGGCGGATTTATAGCGACGACAGTGGGCCACGAATGTCAACCCTCCCGCGTCACAGACGCGGCCGTTAACGTTAAAGGCTGTTCAACTTGACGTTGCAGGCATAGAGACGAAATTCGCCGGATCGAGTTGCAACGACCTCGTAACTTCCGACGGGGCTGGCTCCACGATAATCAGTGGTCATTTTGATCAAAGGATCAGGTTTTGGGACACCCGGGCGGAATCCAGCTCGAACGACATCTTACTGGAGGGGAAGGTTACATCCTTGGATTTATCCCGCGGTAAGTAGGGTTAGCCGTGGGCGCAGTTAAGCCCGGCGGATAGCTAAATATATAAAAAAACTAAGCGACACGAGATAACGCCACGATCGGATAAATTTGAGGCTTCGTTAAATGTTAATTAAACGCGGTCAGGCCCGGCAGTTCGTCCGGTTCCGACGGAATTCGTTATGCGATTTCACTCGGCGATTAGTACGATGTCACAGCGGTGTAACGTCAGCGCGGAATTTCGGAACCCTGTGTATTATCCGGCTGTGTTCAATTTGCCGTGTGTTTCGCAGTATTGATTAAGGATGCGTTAAATGGAGTAACAAATGACAATCGTAATGACGGGATCAATTATTTAAATCGAACGCGCGCACCGGTCTCTAATATGCCGGATTGTCACAAAAGCGCAAAGGTTCGCGACTAATGGGCGTGTTCCGAACGAATCAGAGTCGCGTTCTCTGTCTGTCTGTTTAATCACGCCGATTTTTCAGCACTTCACCGTGCATACGACATCAACTGCGTTTGAGAAGAACGCGAGCGTGACCGGAGAAAATGAAATTATTGTAATTAGAGCGCGGGCGATGCGGGTTCAAACGGCGGAACGTTATAAATGTTAGATCTGTTGCGGTACGCGCGATCTATCTCGGTTGTTTGTTGAACAATTAATAGGATCGCGATATATACTAATTGGCCCGCCGTGACAGATAATACCGCGACGCGTTTCACTCGCGGATCTCGCCCGCGCGGGCAAACGCTGTTTTCCACCGTCGTTTTTTATCGCAGCCGCCTAATGACGCGAATGAATTGGCCCGCGCGATCCTGCAGCATCCTCGAAGCACTTATATTAGCTACGAGTGCATCCCCTTCGTTCGAGAACGCTTCGTTCGGATAAATTGTTCTATCGCATTTCATTAATCTCGATAACGCCGGGACGGCGCGAGATGCACGTTCGAGTGAGATGAATCTGCAACGCGCGGATTTTCAGACTTGCCGCGCTTTGCATCGCGCCTCGAAAGCACATCTCTCTCTCTCTCTCTCTCTCTCTCTCTGGTTTTTATCGTTCGAGCACACGCATCTTCCCTCGTCCTTAAAATCACGATGCACCGTTACAATGCGCAATTATTTGACGAGCGCCGCGTTCTGCATTCGTTCGTGGAAGAGGACGAGAACGAGAGAGACCGGAGCACGGTTGCAAATGAGCGCGAGCATTAATACCAAGCGTGATTTTACACGATAGATAGGAAAGAAATTACGTAAACCGATCAAGCGCGCGCGCATTTCAATTCACTTGCCGAGCGTAACGCGTTTATAAGTTTATTGCGGCGCGCTAGATTTTTCCGTGCTTTGAATCGCGTGTTGCGTCACTTGTACATTCCATAGACGCGCTTTTATTAATAATTGCGAACACGCTCGGTGCACGTATGAAATATTTATTCGTGAGCTTACGCCCGCAACCTTTTATTCGTCAAAACACGGGGAACGCTCTCTTTTTTGTTTCCGATATAGTTGAAATATGCCGAACGAATGAAATGTAATAAATACGATTTATATGATTGCGCGACTGCGATGTAAATCCAATGGACGGGAATTTGTCCGGTTTCAGACGCGAACTACCTGCTGAGTTGCGTAAGGGATGACACGGTGAAGTTGATCGATTTGCGAATGAAGAAAATCGTCGGATCTTTCAGGTAGGTATTCCCCCGCTTTTCATCGCGCGTACGAAGTTGCGTAGGCCGTGATTTTTCAAGTCTGGGAATTCACGATTTTTATTGTGCCCTGCGCGCACAGAAAGGTACATAAAGCATTCGAATAAATATTCCTTGTTTCAAGTATTTCATAAGTTTATGTACATACACGCAAGTATATCACAAGTTCGACATAAGGATCGAATTTATTCAAGATATATTCTGAATCCTGGTATAAGTTTAGTCAACTTCAATCACGAATATTAATTAGGGCATTAAGGCTAAAATTTCAGTTTACTTATTGCAATTAACCGAATTTAACTTGTCTTCGACGAAATTCATAATATTCTTGGAAAGTGAAAAATTCTTTTTCTCCTTTTTTTTTTTTTTTTTTTTTTGAATAAATGATGAGCTTTTCTAATATTTGTGACAAATATATTTTGATATTATTATCAAGAGAATATTTTTTTAACAAATTTAATAACTATTGCTTATAAAAGAAGAATAAGCCGAGTGATCGCTTTTTTTATCAGTGCGATAATATTTTTGCACGAACGAGTTTGAGATTGAAAACCGCGCAGATAACTTCAGTTATAATGGCTCCGGTTATAATGGTATCGATCTTGCGCGTATATGTGAAAGGCTGAAAATCGTGGTAACTCTCGATCTAGGGGATGATATGGCACATATTACGTCGGTTGTACGATATGCAACTGAAACATTAAATATACCAATACGTATCGCACCTTTGTTACAACAGTGCCGATGGTTTCAAAGTGGGCTTCGATTGGGCAAGAGCTGCTTTTAGCCCCGACGGGCAGTACATAGCAGTGGGTTCCGCGGACGGGTCCGTTTTCATCTGGTCCATAGCAACGAACCTGATCGAAACAGTGCTCAAAGGGCATACGTAAGTAGAAATCCTTGTATCGTTACAGCCGAAGTTCGGGGAATTATTCAGAACTTCGCGCCGGAAAGAGAGGCAATTATCGGCTCTTAACGACGATAAGGCGTAATAAATAAGAGAGTTAACAGCGGTATCTCGAATCGCGAGATACAAACGACCGAACGAACGAACGGGAAACTACGGAAGAAAATCGGATCTATTTATTCCGTTAATCGGGCTCATTCATTGTAACGCGCCCATACGTCTCTGTGTAGTTTTGCACATATTATATATTCTTGACCGAATATTTGGCCTCCCGCCTCGGAGACAAAAAGTCGCGGCCTTTCGATTGGAATGTGCAATATCGATATTAAAACCGTGCATCCGTATAAAACGGACGCGCGAAAAAGAAAAAAAAAACCCCCCGTTAAATTTTATATGACTTTTTACGGCCGGCGCCGGTCAATAATGAAAAGACATATTAAAACGCGAAATCTTGCTCCCCCCGACATTCTCTCTATCGAATATTGATTTACGAAGAGCTAATCCGAGATATTGAAGGCGGAGAGGTCGCTACGAGAAAATCCTTCATAAAACGCCGCGCGTCGTCTTACCGTTTCGCCGTGGCCTTTTTATCGCGGTCTTTATTTCGCGACCGTACGGACGACATGCTGCTTTACATTGCGTCATCGTATTAAAATCCCCGCAATTATTTTATATTGCCAATTGTATCCGCGATTCCCATCTCGACTGCGGGGATGTCGCGATTGTTGTCTCTTAAAACCCGCCGATGTATTTTCACGATGCGCCTTCCTCGCTCATCACGAGCGAAGGAAACGCATGTTTACGCGAGGCTCCCATCGAAGAGATCTCGTAATTACTCGAAATTGTCGTGCACGTAGACGTTTGATTTTCGATACCGACACACACGTACACGTGGTGGCAATTATTTCATCAACTTTGACTGTCAGCGACGTGCGGTGCTCGGCAAATAATCTTCCGCGTTACCGGTGTGCTGTTCGCGGCGACAACGGCGTTTCGTCGATTGCGCGACTTTATTTGCGGTCAGGAAATCGATAATGCCGGCCCCGCTGTTGCCTTTCGTACGTTCCACTCCAGCATCACCGTTATAATTTATTTCACCCCAGACCTTCTCCCCCCTCTCTGCTTTTTTCATCGTAATACGTTTCGAGCCGCTTGATGGATGCGAATTTTTCGTTTAAATTCGCCGGCCGGAGCGCCAAAGCGGCCCGTAATTTTAGGAGGCACTTTCGAGTGCTCTGCATACCCACCTGACACGAGAAGTTCCTGAAGTACTTCGGTCCTCCGGTCCACCGCACGCAACCCACTCACCCACCCACATACACACACACACACGCACATCTACACGTGCTCCTCACGTCCGTGCGCTTCACGACGCATACGAAGAAAAAGATTCGTGGCGGCAACGGGTGGGCAAGAGGGAGGTCTAAGAAAATATTTCGACGTGACCCGATTTCCGCTGCAACTTTCGCGCTGTATATACCACGTATCCGCCCATGTCTATATATCGCCGGATGACTGGGCGATATCGCGAATTTATACGGCACCCCCCGGAGGCACTCTTAACTCCAGCTACGTCGGTCCTCTCTCTCTCTCTCTCTCTTTCGCCATTGAACGCGTCACTCCGAATGACCGAGGAGTCGTTTACCCACCCGCACGTACCTACGTGTGGGAAAGGGGTGGGAATCCGTTCGGGGGGAAAAGAAACGCGACGACGACGGCTGGAGGAGATGCGGCGCGAAAATGGCCAGCGGCGTAGGCGCGGAGGAGCGTATCTCGTCCGCGTGCTTTCAGCGCCCTTTCACCTACACGAGCCGCGTTGATGGACGCGTTAATCGGCGGCATCTCACGGGGAATGCGGCGCAGGGATCGTTTCCCCGTTGCCGAGGTGCAGAAAATCGATATCTTTTAAAACGCTAAAAACGCCGATTTTATGCTATTATACGGAGTAGCGGCGGTTAAACACGATATTATCCGTAAATCAATAGCGGGTGCGGTTAACAATTTCCGGGTGTACCGCCGTGTAACAACAATTCCGCGATTCTCGCAGGCCGCTCTGGACGATCGGCGATAAGCGCGCGACCGAGCGCGCGTCGTCGGCTCGTTCGTCGCCGATTAACGCCGGCCGACCCGCCGGAAGGAATTCGGTCTCGCTCGCCGATTTCATTCGCGCGATTCAATCGTGTCAGCCTTCGGTGTTATCGCGGGGAAAACGCGATCATCGTGTATCCCGGGCCGCACGGAACGAAAGAACCGTCGGCCACGACGGAAAGACGAAAGTCGTGATCTCGGTGTAAAATCACCGCTTGATACGCGCTCGTTAAACGGCGATAACGTTTAATTATTCTCTATTGAAACATGTCGTGCCTCGTACTGATCGTACTATCACGCTCGCGGTAGCGGCGATTAGTTATTACGCGCGTGTTGGAACGATTACGAACGTAAACGGTTTAATGGCTCATAATTACGACAGCGCGCGCGTAGCGTCGGCGTTAAAACGTCGACGTTTTCAAATTCAGATTGGCAACAGTCCGGCGGTATCACGATCGCACGGGGTGAGATCTTCTCTGCGTCTCTTCGTGTCGATAATCGAACGTATATCTCTCTCTCTCTCTCTCGCAGCGAGAGGAACGCGCGTTCGACTCCAGTTTTCGAATCACGACGATCGCCCGAGTCTAGCGTGCCGCGGAAAGGTCACTCGTGAAGCGGGCGAAGCGAATTGTAACATTCCCCCTGCAATTTCGCCAAGCGAACTGTTACTCGCGATTACGCTGTTTCCAAACTGCACGTGAACCGGGGAACAATACTCCTTTGTTATGCAAAAGAGGCGCAAAGTACCCTCGCGGGCCGTGTTTGGCGCCGCGTGCTGTCGCGCCTAATTTCGCCGCACTCCGTCGGCGTCTAACTCGTTGAATCGAAGCCCCTTCGGCGGATCCGCCGAGCTGCGTGAACGTCTCGCGGCGACGTCGAAAGTCGGGCCCCGTTCGTGCCGAAAGGAAAGCCGGCGGTGCCTCATTGGATGCTTTCAGCCCTCTTTTATCCACGCATATACACACACACACGTGGCACGAGGTCGAGCAACGACGATCGTCCCGGACGATCGGCCCACGAGTCCCACGGAGGATCGTAAGATCCGTTCTGCAATTATCGTCGCCCCCCCCTTCCCCCTCCCCCGCGAGCGAGCGAACGAGCTTCTCTCTGTCGTCGCAGCGGCCGGCCGTCCTCGGCCTCCTCGAGTTTCTCAAGGACGCGGCATCTTCGGTGGTGGCTTCTCCGCGAGAAAGAGAGCCCAGCGGGCGGCTCGGCGTGCATCTAAGTACCGGTCGTATCGAAAAATGGCTTAAGCACCAGTCACGTACACGTAGGCTTCGGTGTGCGCGGTTCCTCGAGTATACACGCTCGCGCGTGTTTCACTGTTATTACTTTCACCCCGGACCGTAGCCGCGCTTCGACGACGTGGTCATCGTCATCTTTCGTCGTCATCTACCTCCTCGGTCTTCGTCCTGTGCCCGGTCGTCATCGTTGTCTTCGTCCGCGACTTCTTCCTTTTTCCTCGACTTCGTCCTCGCCCTCACCTCCCTCTCCCTCTTCCTCGCGAGCGCCGTTCGCGGTTGTTGCGGCGATGGTAGGTCGTATAATTCGTACGTTGCACACAGCCGCGCCCGGCCGNCCCCCCCCCCCCTTTCACCCTCTTTTCTTCGTCGGTGTCCTCTTACGGTGCGGGGGGAGGCCGATTCCGTAGGTATTTAATGCGAGCGCGCGGAACAAGCCGGCGTGTCGCGAGCTATGAAATTTCAATGTTACGCGCGAGTCTGCGAATCGAGGCAACAATCGAGGCGACGTCCCTTCGTTTCGCGATACCTGTCCGCTCCCCGCGATCAGCGAGGTCGTGAAGTATCATTAACTCGCGTGCAATAGTTAATAACCAATTGCTCCAAGAAAGAGAGAGAGAGAGAGAGAGAGGACGCTGCGTGGAGTAACAAGTGCAAGAAAGTCCCCTTCGCGTGGGAACTCTCGTCCGTCGATATAAAGTCGATCGTTAAAAGCGAACAGCCTGTGTCTCTTCTTCCCGCTGCATTTCGCGTCACGGGAAGGAGGGGGGCCGTTTAGAAAATGCGCGCAATTTCATATGAATTCCACCGCGGGGCTGAACGTTACGTTATTCCCGAAGCGGTCAGATCGCTTCGCGTCTCGCAACTATTTTCCCGCGTGCGGTCGCTTTTTCCGCCCCGCGACGAACCTGTAGAAACGTAAGTCGTGCGAAAGCGTAGACGACGGCGGCGTCCACGCGCGGGGGCTAATAAACGCGCGTAAACGGCCGGGGGGCGCTCGTTCCAACCGTTCGAGGCCGAGGAGGTATTCGGTGTGACTCCCTTTCCGCGAGTACTTAGACTCGAATCCGCAATCGTATCGCCCGATAAGCTTACGTTCGTGCTCTAATTTGCAATCAACCGGCAGGATCCGCGCACACGTCGGGAAAGGCGGGAATTTACCGCGCGATCCAGCGGAAGATCTCGCTCGGCGAATAAATAGCGGCGCACGATTATAGCGGAATGGGTAATTAAGGAGGGAACACGGGGAAGGCTCTCGGGATACCCCGGCGCAACCTGAGCTTTGAGATTAAAACGCAGCTCTCTCTCTCTCTCTCTCTCTCTCTCTCTTGGCGGAACTTCGATTCGGCGCTTCACGGAATCGGTGACCTCATTATATTCGCGCCTATTCGCGCGAAACTCCGTAAAGTATTGCCCTGGTATATTTTTCGCCCGTCTCACCCCGACCGCCAATTGCGATTGCTCCGCTCGCATCGCGGATTTTAACATCTGGCAATTAATTTCTTCCTTTTCCTAAATTCGCAGGATAATTTGAATTATTTGGTTATATAACACTTGCTTAGCTCTTGATGACCTCTAATGTTCGACAAAGTAATTAATTGTGTTAATTATCGTGTGTTAAAATCATTTTTACGACGATGTAAATTTTTC